GTGGGGGAGGTGGGGGGTGGAACTGGTCTTCCCTATTTCCTCACTCTCTTTAATATTGGAGTGTGCCATGGTCGAGGCAAGGAGCCCTGGTGGCACAGTGGTTAAGTACTCGGCTGCTAACTGAAAAGTCAGCAGTTCTAAACAACCAGCTGCTCCACGGCAGTTGTCTTTCGTAAAGATTACAGCCAAGGAAACCCTATGGGCCAGTTCTGCTCTGTCCTGTAGGATTGCTATGAATTGGAATCAACTCGTTGGCAACAGAAGAAGAAAATGGTTCAGCCCTTGGATTTTTTCTCTGTATCTTCACTTAGTCCCTTGGTGATCTCATCCAGTCTTATGGTTTTAAACACCTCTCTATGGCTCCCAAATTTATATTTCCAGTCCACACCTCTCCCCTGAATTCTAGGCTTGTATCTCCAACTACTTTCTTGACGTCTTCACTTAGTGACTCATTGGCATCTCTAAGTTAACATGTCCAAAATGGAAATCCTGATCTTTCCTCCACCATACCTGTTCCTTCTACGGTACTGCCATTTCAGTTAATGGCAGTTCCAAGTTTCCACTTGCTCAGGCTGAAAACCGTGGCATCCTCCATGACTCCTCTTTTCATACCCACAGCAAGCCTGTCAGCAAATGGGGTGGGTTCTACATTCAACATGTATCCAGAACCCACTCACCACCACCATTACCACTGTGTCCAAGCCACCATCATCTCTCAAGTAGATAACTGCAATACTCCTCTGTGGTGTATTTTTAACACAGCACTTGGAGTGATCTTGTTCAAATATAAAGTATAACGCATCAGTCCTCTGCTTAAAACCCTCCAGTGGCTACTCCCCCCACTTTTTTTTTTTTTTTTTTTGTGGCTTCCTATCCTAATCAGAGTGAAAAAATGTCCTTCCAGTGACCTACCAGGCCCTGTGCTATCTGGTCCTCAAATCATACTTTCTGACTTCATCTCCCAGTACTCCCTCCTCATTCCCTCTGCTCTGATCAAAGTAGCCCCTTTGCTTTCCTTGAACATGCCAGGCACACTTCCATTTCAGGGCCTTTGTACTTGCTGTCCCCTTAGCTTAGAATATCCTTCCCTAGATATTTATATGGCTGGCTCCCTAATTTTCTTCAAGTCTACTCACAGTTTGTGTTGTCAGTGATGCTTTCTCTGACTACCCTAGTTAAAATTAAAATATCCTTTCCTGGAACTCTTGTTCTCTATCCCTGTTTTGTTTTTCTCCATAACATTTATTACCTTCTAATAATACTATATAATTTATTTATTTATGTCTTATTGTCTTTCTCCAACTACTAGAAAGTTAGCTCAGTAGGGACAGGGATTTTGCCTATTTTGTTTACTGATGGGTCCTGAATGCCTAGAACAGTGCCTGGCATATAATAGGTGTTTGATATATGAATGATGAGTGAGTTGCCATTATTACCTCATTTTACAGATGAAAACATCTGAGACTTTAAGTAATTCTTACAATAGTAGCAGCCCTGGTGGCTCAGTGGTTAAGCGTTCAGCTGTTAATCAAAAGGTTGGCAGTTGGGGTCCACCAGCCACTTCTTGGAAACCCTATAGCACAGTTCTGCTCTGTCCTGTAGGGTTGCTATGAGTCAGGATCGACTTGATGGCAACTAGTTTTTAACGAGTAACAGTAACTGACAGAACTGGGATTCGAATCTGTCTATTTCTAGAGTCCTTTTAACTAGTTAGAGGGCATTGGTGGTTCAGTGGTGGAATTTTCACTTTCCATACAGAAGACCTAGGTTCAATTCCTGGCCAATGCATCTCATACACAGCCACCACCTGTCTGTCAGTGGAGGCCTGTGTGTTGCTATGATGCTGAACAGGTTTCAGCAGAACTTCCAGATTAAGACAGACTAAGAAGAAAGGCCTGGTGACTGACTTCTGAAAACCAGCCAATGAAAACCCTATGGATCACAGTGGTCCAATCTACAACTGACTTTTGGATTGATGCAGGACCGGGCAGTGGTTTGTTCAGTTGTGCAAGGGATTGCCATGGGCCAACTTGACGGCAGCTAACAACAACAACAACATTTAACTAGTTATGTGATACTGCTTGTGAAGGAATGGCTGAAAGTATCAAGTGCGTGGTAATCTGCAAAAGGCCTCTCAAACGTTCTATCAATGTTTTTATATGCTGTATTTCCTATTATATTTATTTGTTCCTGGTTGTAACTAGGTTGATGACATTGATTGAATTTTTAATTCCCATATAATCCAGTTAGATTTACTTCATTTATTGGCCACAGACTGCATCAGTAATTCATGCTTTTGTTTTTAAAAGGGGACCATGCAAGCATCCATGAAAATAATTCCTTTCAAAACCTTGTGGTGTTAGTATCAAAGAGATGTTTGGAAATTAGCAAATTTGTATAGGGTTGTTGATGGGTCATTATAGTGATTATATTTTCTTTACATATAGTTACTAAAGCTCAAGCAGTGGTTTACTGCACATGTTCAGTTTATCCAGAAGAAAATGAAGCTATTGTTAAAAAAGCACTGGAATTTCAAGACCCTGGGATCAAAGTACAACCTTACAGGTAAGAAAGGAAACGATTCTTCCAAACAACTCAAACAGTCAAATATTTTTGAAAGTGAAAAGTTATGATTTTCTAAGTTTTATACAGACATTCTACTTCCTTTTTTTTCAGATTTTAATATGATCAAATACACCCACCTTCTTACAACTTTAAGATAGATTCAGTAGAGCCTTTACTACAGCTCAGCACAAGTGTTCTCTTGTACAGTAAAGATTCTTTTTTTAAAAATATATATATATTTTTATTATATATATATTTTTATTGTACTTTAGATGAAGGTTTACAGAACAAATAATTTCTCATTAAACAGTCAGTACACATATTGTTTTATGACATTGGTTAACAACCCCATGACATGTCAACACTTTCCCTTCTCGACCTTGGAGGACTTTTTTTTTTTTTGATGAAAATATACATAGCCAAAGATACACCATTTCAAAAGTTTCTACATGTACAATTCAGTGACATGGATTACATTCTTCTAGTTGTGCTGCTATTCTCACTATCCTTTTCCAGATTATTCCATCACCATTGTCTTCAACTCACTGCCCCCTAGGCTTCCCATCAAACCTTTTGAGTTGCTGTTGTCAATTTGATCTCACATAGATAATTATATTTTTATTGTACCTTAGATGAAGGTTTGCAGAACTAATAGTTTCTCATTAAACAGTTAGTATACATATTGCCCTATGACAATGGTTAACAACCCCACGACATGTCAAGACTGTCGCTTCTCAACCTTAGGTTCCCTATCACCAGCTTTCTTGTCTCCTCCTGCCTACTAGTCCTTGTCCCTGGACTGCTGTGCCTCATTAGTCCCATTTTGTTTTATGAGGCGTCCAGTCCCCAACTGAACGGTGAACCTTGCAAGTGACTTCACCACTGAGCTAAAAGGGTGTCCGGGGGCCATACTCTCGGGGTTTCTCCAGTCTGTCAGGCCAGTAAATCTGGTCTTTTTTTTTTGTGAGTTAGGATTCTGTTATACATCCTTTTCCAGCTCTGTTCAGGACCCTCTGTTGTGATCCCAGTCAGACCAGTCAGTGGTGGTAGCCGGGCACCATCTAGCTGTATTGGACTTAGTCTGGTGGAGGCCTTGGTAGCTGTGGTCCATTAGTCCTTTGGACTAATCTTTTCCTTGTATCCTGTTCTCTTCATTCTCCCTTGCTCTCAAAGGGGTGAGACCAGTGGAGTATCTTAGATGGCTGCTCACAGGCTTTTAAGACCCCAGACTCTACCCACCAAGGTAGAATGTAGAACATTGTCTTTATAAACTGTGTTATGCCAGTTGAGCTAAATGTTCCCTGAGACCATGGTCTCCACAGCCCTCTGCCCAGCAATTCAGTCCCTCAGGGAGTTTGGATGTGTCTATGGAGCTTCTATGACCTTTCCTTGTACAAGTTGTACTGGCTTCCCCATTATTGTGTACTGTCTTACCCTTCACCCAAGATACCACTTATCTATTGTCTATTTAGTTCCCCCTCACCCCTCCCAACCCTCATAACCAACAAAGATTGTTTCTTTTTGTGAGTAAACTTTTACGTGAGTTTTTACAGTAGAGGTCTCATACAGTATTTGTCCTTTTGTGATTGACTTATTTCACTCAGCATAATGTCCTCCAGTTTCATCCATGTTATGAGATGCTTCACAGATTCATCATTGTAAAGATTCTTTTGTTTTTGTTATCACTGTTAAACCTAAAGGCATTTTGGCTTTGACTTGGTTGGCTTCTAGATAAAGTGGGTCCAAATTTCATATCCTTGTTTTTAGATACATGCTTGCTTCAGTAGAAAAAAAATAAATATATAAACTATCCATAGAGAGTAAATTCGATATTTATTATCTGAAAACTTTTATGCAATTTTTTAGGCTCTTTTAACCTTTGGTACCCACCAGGACTGAGGTAAAAATAACCTGATAACTATAGTAGCTTCTGTGTAAAATACTGCAATAAACTAGGAGAGAGAGGAAGAGCAGTAATACCACAGTCTGAACCATGGACATCAAGATAGGGAGTAGCTCTAAGAATATATGACACTAATTAGTTCTTTGACTGTGACAGTGCGTTGTTTTAAAACATCTTTTATTTTTTACTGATTTCTCATGTTCTGAGCTTTTCTTCTAATTCTTAAGTATGTTCTTAATATGCATGTAGTTTGCGCTCTCCTTTTAATTTGGTATTTTCCCTGTGACATTTCACAAGTGCCATGTTAGTCACACTTGTATTTCCCTTCTTGCTGGCTTTACTTCCTCATTTAGTAGTTCCTCTAGTTGGCTGCCAACCTCAGGTACTCAAAACTTCTCAACAAGGCGTTAGCTAAATCACCGTCTAGTGGCAAAGAGGGTTATTGCAGGTATGTAACAACGAAATTCGTGAATGTGGAATGTATTACTCTTGGTCTGTCAAGGATAAGGTTTCTAAGAATATAATATGGCAAAAGTGGAGGAATATCTGTATTCTATTTAATAAGATTTTATTTCAGATAAGCTATTATTGATTAATCCATATTATAGTATAAAAGACACAAGTAATATTTAGACACATCTTAAGACACAGATTAATTCATATTCTTGATTGATTTGGGATTTAAACTCAGATTGCAGAGTATATACTCAAGAGGTTTATAACTAGCTGTATGAGGATGCTTTCAAAATAAATTATGCATTTCTTAGGGAAGTGTACTTGATGGCCTTTAAGAAATCATTTCTTAATCTCCCAAAATAGTAGAATTTAGGCTTGAAAGCAGTATTACATATCATCTAACCTAATCACCTATCTGTTGTTTTAATTTCCTTTTAATATCCCAGAAATATCCAGCTCATTTTGGACTTTAGCCATGGTGATACTTACCTTCACTCTATGCAAATTTTTTTATTCCCCACTGTAAAAACCTCAAACGTCACAGAAATATTTACAAAGTAAAACTTTCCAAATCCTACCCCCTTAGATATAATCACTTTTAATAGTTTTATTTGTAGTCTCAGAAATTTCCAGCACCAAAAAAGTATACATTTTAATTGATACTGTCAAATTGCCTTCCAAAATATAGCTTCACCAATGCTAGGTTTTATTGGGCTGTTAAATCTTTACCATTCTGAGAGGTGAAAAGATGAAATCTCATAGCTGGTTAAATTTTTACTTCACTGTTAATGAAGTTGAGCGTGTTTTCCTGTGTATTGCCTGGGCAGTGTAGTGTGGAGTAGTTAAGATCTTGAGTTCCAAAGCTGTGATCATCAAATATTCCTAAAAATTTTTGAATAACTATGTATCCTTTTCTATATTTTAAAGTCGACATCTACTTTTTTATCATAAGTTTAAGTAGTTGTAATATATATGTGATCATTAAGGTTGTGTGTCAACTTGGCTGGGCCATGATTCTCAGTGGTTTGGCAGTTAAAATGTAGTTTGGCAGTTATATAATGATGTAATCACCTCTGTGATGAGATCTGATATAATGTGATCACCTCTATGATGGGATCAGCTGTGAGTAGCCAGCCAGTTGAAAGGAAGTTTCCTTGGGGGTGTGGCCTGCATCCAATATAGGTGGACATTCTGGCAAGGCTCTTGGGCTTTTGCTCACTCTGGATCCTGCAGCTGGCTCCTGTTCATCTGACCTCGAGTTCTTGGGACTTGAACTAGCAGCTTACCTGCTGATCTTGGGATTTCTCAGCCTCTACAGCCAGTGAGCCAGAGGCCTGTTGTCTGACTTGCCAATCTTGGGTTCGCTGGCCCCTGCAGCTATATGACTCAGGAGAAGCCTCCAGCCTGACCCACGGACTTGGGACTTTCCAGCCTCTACAACAGCGTGAGCCATTTCCTTTATATAAATCTCTCTATGAACACTTTACTGGTTTTGCTTCTCTGGATAACCCAGCCTAAGACAATATGTTATTTCTGGAATATTATATTACACATGTTCTTTAAGTATATTTCTGTTAAATCCTTGGAACTGCAGATTTATCTTATTCAATTTATGGGAAAATACTGACATGTAGCCTACTTTATAAAACTAGTTCTTATTGTCAAAACCAGATTTACCTTGTCAGAAAAAGTCTAACTTTATTCTTTAAGTCAGATAAATAGGTTAATATGTTCCTGTGATTTTCTTTTAAATTTTAATTCTAATATAGATATATAAATAGATATAGAGAGAAACAGAGACAGAAAGGGAGAGAACAGAGCTTTGCTGAGAGTTTGATACCTCTTAAATGTTTTTTACCTGAATTCTCCTTACTTTACCATGGGACTACCCCTCAGGAGAGCCACCTTCTTGAATTGTTTTTTATTTACTATATTTACTGGGATGGTGGGTAGGTGGGTGGGGAGCAGTTCTGCACTACCTACCCTACTGGCTAAGGAACCAAAGTTAGGGTTGTCCCTGCTACCAGGTAGATCTATTGCAATTATGCATTCAAGGACTGGGAAAGTAACCACTGGGTGCATCCAGACCTGGGCCAGAACTCCATTTATTACTAGCCCCTTGATGCTGCTACTCTAATGGGGGAGGTATAATGATGCTCTTGTTCTCTGGGTATCAGTGTCAACTAGTACCCTGTGGCCTGCAGTCCTTGAAGTGTTTGGGTAGTTTCCTTTCCCTAGAGTACAATGGCCATAGCTAGAGTAAATGACCATAGATCCTTTTGGGAAGGACTAGGGAAATCATTGCCATGTAAGCTTGCTATGATGCTTTCTTCCTTCTAGGGACTCAGCCTCTCCTGCAGGCAATGGGTTCTGGGTCTGAGGACTGGTCCAGGTCTGGAAACTGGGGCAATTCCCTCAGCTTCTTGAACATCTGTCCATGATTTCTTTTAATTGTACAGATTGAGAAGTACCTTTGTTAGCTGCCCTTAATAACATCAGGTTCTTTTAACCATTTCTATAACTCTCTGGTCCAACCCCTTCCCATCTTCCCTGTGGCTGCCTCTCTAGCCTTTGTACTTATGATAATCAATAATCACATATGTCTGGCTTCTGATGCTAATTTGAGTTCACCTGGCCTCTG